TGTCACTACATAGATCCGACTCGTAGTGATTCTTCTGTTTTCAGCCTCCCAAGAACTGGGATTATAGGTGTGCACCACCACGCCAATCTCCCACCATGCGGAGTCTCAATCATCATTTCAGCTCTAGGGACGGGGCCAGCCTGGCATGCCATCCAACCAGCTGCTGCACTCTGCCTAAGCAGGCACTTTAGTCTGCTGAGCTATCTGGCCTGCCCTCCAGCTTTCTCATTTCAACCTTATTTATTTATAGGCAGCTCTCACAGGCTGCCTATAAATAAATTGTCCAGGCTAGTTTTGAACTCCTGAGTTAAACAATCCTCCCATCTCAGCCTCTGATTTTTTGGGGGGGAGGGGGAGCTTGCCAGGCAAGCGCTTATTCTCCTGAGTCATCTCCCCTATCCCCTAGAGCACCTGAGATCACAGGCACCATTGTGCCTGGCTCTCATTTTAGTGATTTTTTAAAAGAGTACAATTCAGTGGCATTACATTCACAGTGTGATGCAACCATCACCACTGTCTCAAGTTTTTATCACCCTCTGTAAAAGCACACTCCACCTGGTTGTGGTAGGCACATGCCTGCAATCCCAGCACTCTAGGAGGCTGAGGCAGGAGGATACAAGTTCCTGTCCAAACCTGGCAACTTAGTGACTTAGAAAAACTGTTCCAAAATACAAAATAAAAAATTCTGGAGACCTACTTAAGTATAATCACTCATGTTCAATCCTGTACTGCTAAATAAACAAACAAAAACCTCACAATTGTACTCTACTCCTTAAGCAGTGAAACTCCATTCTTCCTCCCTCTTAGCCTTGTCCACTAATGCACCTTCTGTTTCTACTAATTTTCTTTCTTTCTTTTTGTATTTAGTACAGGGTCTATAAGGTCTTACTATGTAGATTGGACTCAGAGTGATCTCCTGTGTTCAGCCTCCCAAGCGCTGGGATTACAGGGGTGTACCACCACACCCAGTTTCAGTTGTCATCTCAGTGTGCCCGGGGGCAGGGCTGGCACAGCACAGCACACAAGGGATCAAACCCTGGCATCTATACTCTGCCTAAGCAGGTGCTTTAGTCCGCTGAGTTATTTAGCCAGCCTTAATTTTCTATTTCATATGTCTCATGTAAATGGAATCGGACAATATTTGGTTTTTTGTGACTTTTTTTT